AATTAGGGAATTTCTTTATTGATATATATATATATATATATATGTGTGTGTGTGTGTGTGTGGGGGGAAAAAGCTCTCGAAATCTGCCCAACGGTATAAAAAGTATTTAAGTGGAGCGTCAGCAGTCCATCGTCCCCACTAGATGAACGAATGAGATTAGGACTTAAGAAACATGGGCTCTCACACCTCCTTTAAAACAGGGGCTCTCATGTCTCTCTCTCTCTCTCTCTTCCCCTGTCCCACCAAGCTCTTTGTCCTCCCTTCATTCTCTCTCTCTCTCGTCCCCAAAGCTCTCTCTCCGTCTCCCCCATTTTTGCTCCCCCCCCCGCCCCCCGTACCACCAAGCTCTCAGTTTGGAAACCCAATGTAGAAAGTGGAAGGATGAGGGATAGATGAGAATCAACCCTAATCTTTAACCAAAATCAGTAAGAACTCTCTACTCCCTATAGAATGATCAAATGGATCTCTCTCTCTCAAAGCAATCAATCCGTAGAGATACTCCATTTCTGTTTCAAAAATCAACCCAAGATACTTCAACCCAAGGCCAAATTGGTGAAGAAATCTTTGCTTCACCTTTCTCACTCCGCCATTTTTCCTCCCTCTTTCTCTCCCTCATCCCCAAATGGCATAGCTAGAAAAAACAAATTTGAGAAAAGAAAAATCTTACTGTTGTAGTAGGGAAAATGCCCTATCTGTTTGTTTCTTTTTTTGTTTTTATATAGATACAGTAAACAAAATCCATGCATCGAGGAAAAAAAAAAGGTCTCCAAAATTTATGCCTCAAAGGAGAACAATGCTCTGAAGAAATCTGTGTTATCTTAAGTAGTCAATCAACAGCTGACAAACTTTCGTATTTGTAGCAATCGAAAGATTGTTTTTTTGGTTTTTTCCCACACTAGCATTCCCCCAATTAAAAAAAGAAAATGATTCAATTATTATCCAAAACCCCTAGATTATCGGTTTTTCTATAAGAAAAAGCAAAAATAATCTTACTATAACAATAGAGCAAAATGCTCATCGGTTTTTTGTTTTTCTTAATAGATACAATTGAAAGAATTATCAATATTATAGATACTATCATCTTGATTTGTTTTTTTTTTTTTGGGTTTTATGAAGAGGTTACGTTTTTCAAGTGCTGCATAGAACTTGAATTTTTGCTTTAATTACATTGTGTATTTTTTTTTTTATCTAATAGTGCTCAAAAATTTGGAATTAAAGTTCCTTATTGTGATTAATTTTCATGCATTGGTTGTATCACTTTGTGATTATTTTTATTACAGGAATGGAATAAATGTCTTATGATTGAAAGTGAAAGTTTCTATGTTTCTTGTTGTTTATGGCTTACAGGAATGGAATGAAAGTTATCAAAGTTTCCATGTTTCATGTTGGATTAGCTTGAGGCTTGGGGATTGGATCAACAATGAATATGGGCTTGAGGCTCGGGGGTTGGATCAACAATGAATATGGGCTTGAGGTTTTGGTATGGGTTTGGCATATGTTGTTGCCTTTTCAAGAATTGTTTTTGCAAATATATGACATAAATTGCTGGAAATAAAGAAATTTGATGAAAGTCTCATAGGCTGCAGCTCTGATCTTGATGTGCTTGAGGCTTTGGTTGGCTTTGGTATTGTTAAGGCATATGTTGTTGCCTTTGTTATATTGCCAAGCCTTGGGTTTTACGCATGCCACAGTCATTTGTAACTTTAGCTAGCAAGGAATTTGAGGCAATAGTTCAATGCCCAAATATTACTGGTGCCTACTATAGGGAAAGTTATAAATTATTGAATGTAATATGTAAGGTAACTGATTGTATTTTTCCTTGATAGAATGATCACAATCTTTCTTTCTTTTTTCAAGAATTGTTTTTACAAATATATGACAAAATTGCTGGAAATAAAGAAAATTGATGAAAC